AAATATCGAGTATGATTAGAGTATGGTTTTCGAATCAGCGAAGCGTCTGACCTTGACGTCGTTTCGGTGCTTTTTCAAATCTGTCTAATCGGGTCAACATGATTGGACGATATGGAGGTGTTGCCCACGTTCCTCGTCCAGCATGACCAGCGGGTTTATGATGGATCATGTATATCTTGTCAGATTTGGTGTCCTTGATTGTAATTGGTAGTGGTGTTTGCCCGTCTTTCTTCAACGATATTCAGTAMAAATCAATCAATCAATCATTTGGTCCGGTAATTGACAATTCAGCCGATCAATAAATCCGTCTAGATACCTGTGTTGTGGTAGATTTCAGAATATGTCGTTTTAAAATCTGTTCCTCGACGTCACCATCGCTCTCACTCTTGTCTTCCAGACCCCAAAACAAATCTTTCTCTTTCAAAATTGCTTTGCATTCAACGCAGAGATCAAAACTATTCGRATCGACTTTTATTGCCTTCTTGTTTGCTCTCGAGTTACGGGTGATCTTGGATCTCTCGATGTTGTTGCCCGCGTTGTGTAGCGTACAGCGAGCACCAGAGACCTTTGGAGAGAGAAATCATTAAGATAAGTTTGTCAAAGAGTGATGGTGATTATTGTAACAATGATTTCTGATGAAGTTGAAAATGATCGTGACGAACAATCATCATTGAGTGAATGGCTTGAACCTCTTATGTTGTGATCGAGGTCGATGATGTTTAACAATAATGAAGACAATAGCGTACAGCGAGCACCAGAAACTTTTGGAGATAGCAATCAATAAAACGAGTTTGTCAAAGAGCGATGGTGATTATTATAATTATGATTTCTAAAAATGATAATGGTGAATATTCATCGTTGAGTGAATGGTTTGAACCCGATTGTAAGGTTGTGACCGAGTTCGTTGAAGTTTAACAATACTGAAGGCAATAGCGATGTAAGTAAGATGGCTTTCAGGTAATAAAGCTTCAGAAAACATTGATCCCTGATCTCAATTAATTATATACTGATGTGCGATGATTGACAAAGACCGTAACATTGTGGCTGTGATCTCTAGATAATCGAGATCGCAATGCTGTTGTAAGATCTCTAGCTGCGTACAATCGATCATTAGTAATGATCACATCTCACAATCTTTTTCTAAAGCCGAGAATCTTGCTGGGAGAGGGATTTTAGAAAAAAAAAAGAAAAAAAAAGAAATAACATCCGAAATAACACTAGAACCGTATACCAAATGTATTAAGTTTGAATGATCAAGCTAATATACCTTTCTAGGAACAAGTCGTGTTCTCCTTGTCTGCAGCCTGGTTTGTTTATCGCGCAAAGCGTTTTTTAGTTCTTTAATCGTGTCGTTATCGGCCTGGTTTCGATCTGGTACATCTTCTGTTGTATCGCTGGATGGTACAGAGTTCCTCAAGATGATTCTGGACGGTAAAAAAACAGCTCTTTTGGTGTCTTTCTCAACAGGTAGAAATGCCTCTACTTCAGATAGAAGCTCACGTCGTCTTTTCGTTATTCTTTCAAAACACTGGTTATCTACATTACAATAAATGGTTAGCATTTTTGAATTAATTGAAAAATATTGAATACTTACTAAAACATAGAGAAATCATGTTGACCAGAAAAAAAGTCGAGTTATAAATAAAAAAATCATCAAAATATCTCTCGTTTTCTTAAATATTAATTTGTCGTGGAATTGATTTATTCCATTTTTATTTTACCTTCATCAGATAACTCCACATCGTCGTTTCTCAACTGCTTTGGTTTTCGTTCTTCTTTCTTACCACACTCTTTTCCATTGTCAAAGTTTTCCAGTTCTCTCTTAATCAGTTCAACATCGTGCACTAGACGGTTAATCGCAATCATTCCAAGATGGCTGCCAAAATTATCGACGGTCTCCACAAGTCCCTGCTGTGATAATGTAATGTTCTCTTCTCCATCACATAGAAGGATCTTAACGTCACGTAAAGCAGCGAGAAGCAAACGTTTTTCTTGTTCGCTGGCGTTGTTTTCCAGTGCCCTGTACAATGATAAAGCAGTTTCTAGTTTGATGCTAGCTTGTGCTGTAGTGTCACATACTSTGTCTTCCCGTTCCATTCTCAAAAATATGAATTGCAAGACTTTTTAGATTTTTTTTCATGTAAATGAAGTTTTCTGATTGATGACGGCACAATCGGTATTTTTGACTGCGCGCGCACGTGCACTTTTTTACCACAGGCAGCCCAAGCTTGTTATCATATCACCGATATGACACTCTCACATTTCCCATGTGATTTTATTTTATTTTATATTTCAATTAAAACTGAGTAAACAAGTTGGCGGTCACAAAATATCAACACCGCTGGTCATATAAAACTACAACTAGGGCACAGGAATCCCGACATTAGAAGCGTAACAAGCAGAACTCCTCCGGCCTTCAGATAATCGCAGTCATCGCTTCCTGATCTGAAATTTGCAGTGATTTCTGTTATTGCAAGGAAACTGATTTTTTTCTTGAGTTTTAGCCTATCACATGTATTAACACGGTTTTCTTTAGCACTCTAGAATAATATACAGAAGCCTCTTTCCCAGCACCTTTACCCTAGAACAACATATCGGTAAAAAACGTTTGTTTATTATGTCAAATTATGACATTGTTTGTACTATATAGGCCACGAGGCATCATGATTTTGAACTTCAGTAAATGTCTATTGGAGATGAATCGATACACCTGAATTGAAGAAACGTTTTCGGGTTCAAAAAGGTCAAATCATAGAAGCTAAGAACGAAAGTGTACTTGGGAAGACGAACAATTTGGATAATTTTATACAATCAGCTCTCCAGCATAAAAGACTAGCATGCTGTTAATCATACTAGCTCTACTTGCTTTACGGTGCGCTTGTACAACGTATATGCAAATATAATCCCAATTTAGTTGTACTCAAAATCCCTTGAACGGTCTTAGCTTCTATGATGTGACCTTTTCGAACACGACTACGTTTTTTCAATTAAGGTGTATATGGAAATATCCTTGCGATCAAAGATCGTAAAGAAATGCTCAAAATATAATGAATTATATATGATTATTTCAATTCAGGTAGAAAGATCTAGAATCTCTAAACATCCATTGTCACTTGTCAACCAACAGAGACGAGAGTTATTCGAACTATTTTGATTAATAGTTATATTCATAGTCATTTTTTTTTATTTCACTGATGAATATTCAGTTTCCTGTTGTATAATAAATCACTCAGTTTAGCATGGAAATCACAGATTGTAGATGTACATCAGAAAATAAAGCATAGTTTACTGCGATATGAGACACTGAAATATCTCAAAACAAATCTTTATGAATTAATATTAATAAGTGACGCATGACATTCCTCTTTGAATAGAGCTTTATTTGCAGGTTGATCTTCCTTTAGTTCTGAAATTAAGAAGCTGCTTTCAACAAGCAATGATTCTTTTTTCTTTCTCTTTTTTTTTTCTTTTCTTTTTCCTTCTTTCTTCCTTAGACGCCAATATGTCACGCCAAGTTGTCATAGCAATGTCATTACGTGTAAGATAAAAATAGTTTTTCCGGGAAAGTTTCAGACGCTCACCACTACAATGGCGGAACTCAATGTGTTTGCGAACAATCTTGAGAGAGAACTCACTTGTTCCATATGTGGAGAGATCTTTACCAACCCGAAGACGTTGAAATGTCTACACAGTTTCTGTCTGAAATGCATATCTGACTGGAACGCGTCATGCAGACGGGAAAGACGACCACTAACGTGTCCTTTATGTAAGGCAATAGAGGGACTCGAAGGCAATGACGTGTCTAGTCTTCCTTCTKCGTTTCATCTTCAACCTCAATTGCAACTTCTTCGCGATATGAGAATAAGTGCTGAATCTCGAGAACAGCAAGAAYTRCCAGACTGCTATGTCAAAAACCGAATGCATTGCAAGAAAAGATATCACGACAACAATAAGTTGGACTTTTACTGTACAACATGCAAAGAATGTATTTGCCTGAAATGTAACGCGACAGAACACAAACTACACCGCACAGTGACCGTCGAGGAAGCCGCAGAAGAAGTAAAAGTGTTGATAATGCGAGATATGGATCGAGTGCTGAAAGTTAAAGAAAACTACGAAAAAGAACTTGACCAGTCTAAGCAGAATATGAAAAGAATTGAACAAGAAACTAACGCAGCAATAAAAGAAGTCAGCGATGAAGTAGAGAAACACATCAAAGTCTTGAAAGAACATAAAACAGCTGTGATTGAAACCCTGCAGACTAAACTTCAACAACAGAAAACACAGAATGACGAAGAACAAAGAGAACTACGTGATGGAATCGAAAGACTTTCTGAATTCAAACATCGAGGTCAGACATTGGTCGATGAAAATGTAGCACATTTCATTGTCAAAAGCCAGCATGATCTTTCTCAAAGATGTCAAACATTTCTTGAAATACAATCAATATTGAACAACAAATCAATTAAACGTAACGCAAGTGTACGGTACACACACAACCCTCAAGTCACGCAGGCTCTGCGGTATATTGGAAAGGTTGTAGAGAAGGTGACAGATCCGTCATGTTGTTCAATTGAAAGTCTAAATGACATCAGGTGCGGATTTGTCAATCGTTTTGAGGTCGTGACTCGAAATTCCCAGAAACAACCTTGCGTGACTTGTCAAGAACGCATTGATGTTCAAATCCAAGATGGCGATGGCATTAATGTAGAGAAGGAAGTGAGTCAAAGTGATACTGGGAAATACACCGTGACGTACCGAGCAGAAAAACCATGTGATTACACAATCCATGTAAGAATTGGTGGACAAAAGATCAAGAACTCACCACAGACTGTGAAGACACGTGATGTCAGAGACGAGTTTAAACCTGTCAAAACCTTTGGAGGGAAAGGAAGTGCAAGGGGACAGTTATATTTTCCCCAGTCACTAGCAGTAAGTGATAGAGGAGAGGTAGCCATTGCTGACTTTGTTAATCATCGTATTGTAATATTCAGTGTTGATGGTGAATATTTGCGACATTTTGGCGACAAAGGAACAAGAGAAGGTCAACTTATCTATCCATGTCGTGTGGTCTTTAATAAAGACCGTTTGCTTGTTACAGATAATAACGATGATACCGGACGATTACAGGAGTTTGACTTGAATGGTACCTACTGCAGAACTATTTACAAACAGCGAGGTGTTAGATTATCTGGAATGTGTTCAGCACATGAAAGCATTGCAGTTTGTTATAAAATCCAAAACAGATCTCAGTCAGGAATAAAAGTATTCAATAAACAATCTGGTGAAATAATGCAAGAAATTCCTTCTGTTAACAATAATGATGTACCTTTTTGTTACATTACTTATGGCAACGGTAAATACTTTGTATCAAATACAAACGTACAGTCCATCAGTGTTTATGATAATAACGGTGGATTTCTCTACACATTTGGAGATGGACAGTTCAACGATCCACATGGTCTTGCTGTCATAAGTGATGTAATCCTTGTTTGTGATGCTCGTAACCTCCGTGTTCAGATGCTGAATCAAAACGGTCAGTTCATAAGATCCTTTGGTGTCAGTGGTTCAGGTCTTGGTCAAATGAATTTCCCAGTAGATATCACTGTTGCACCAGATGGTCGAGTTTTTGTACTTGAATTTTCTAATAGCCGTATTCATGTGTGGCGATAGAAATATTGTAAATAATATATACTTTTCTACCGACTTAAGTTACTACACACAATTTCAAAATTCAAAAGCAGATGAAGTTGTTGTTCAGAAAACATTATTTTATCAGCTAGAACAGTTTATCACTTTAAATCAATATTTTCGTCTCCATTTGACCTTTGTTCGCACAGTGCGTTTTTTAATGTTTGTGTTCTTTGAACAATATTCTTGAAAATTACACAGGCAGCCCAAACAGTATACTTGCAAGCAGTATCTCTCTAACAGTATCTCGTTGATTAAGTTATGGTCCGAGTAAGAAGCAGGCAGGCAAACGGCAATGGAATGCATGGATGTGCTAATTTTTATATTGTATAATCCATCCATCTCATTGGTTAAAACATTAAAATTTGACATAATTTCAAAAGTAAGCGTATTTTTTAATATTTTATTTTATATCTGATTCCGACTTCATAAAAAAAAGCCTTCTTTAGCTTTAATATTGATAGCAAATCTATGTTGGGAACACCAGCAAATTAGAATCATTTTTTGGCTATAGTTTTGAGTGCTTATGATTGGACAGGAAACTTTGTTTCAAAACAGAGTTTATTCACATTTTATTTTAAAAATGTGTTACACATATGGTGTGAAGAACAAGACATTCGAATGTGGGGAAGTTGCAATTGCCGCAGAACAATAGAAAGTTGCCTGCTTGTTGCGCGCATTGTTACTTAATTTGAAAGAAAGCAAATCGGAGAATATCTACAGTGTACACAATTGCTGTTGTCTTTCAATACAAAGTTTTGTAACTAAATTTTTAGTTATGTCCTGAGTTACAGGAGTAGTTCGTCAAAATCAGAATGTGAAAACAACAAAAAAACAGTCTATGAATAATGCATCATTTAAACACCAAATTCTTCACTCTCAACAGCACCCTATCGTAACTCTAAACTTAGAGATAAAGAAATGACTAGAACATTATTGCCTTTAGATATATTCTTGTTATTATTCGGAATGTTGCTTTGATTACCAATAATAACATTTTATCTGTAATTTTAATTATATCATGTTTAAAAAAGTAAAAAATAAAGGACGTTTCAGTGTATAGCTATTGTAGCTCACGGCATTACCAAACCATGTTTCTTGCAAAACAAATAAAAACAAAACAAAACAAAAAAACATACAAACCCTACTTTTATCAGGAGGGGTGGGAGGGGGGATTTTCTTACTAGAATAAAGACACGGCACCGAGGTTAGAAATCAGGCCACATAGTTAATTAAACACCACAAGAGATTCATTAGTGATCACTGATAACAAGCAAAGATATATGACCAGCTGATATGAAAAAGCTGTACTACAAAGTGCTGTTATTAGGAAAACCATTAAATATGTACCAAATTTGCATTGATTGTTGTCAAAAGAAACAAAGGGACGTGATCTTATTTTAGTTATTATGGTTATGTATAGTCTATTTTTCAGTTATGGCAGGAGGGATGGCTTTTTTTTCAAGTATGAGCTTATCAGAATTTACAGTTTTGCATTTAAACTTTCGAAAAAGTTGCCCTTATAAGGAGTATGTGGAATGAATTCGATGTAATCTTGGCACTCGTTAAGGTGGCTGCACTTGAAAGTTCTTTAACGTCATTGGTGTGTCTACAAGARTAGAATACACATCGAAAAGTGTTCTAAAATTGCCATTTTGAATATAAATCGGCGTGTTTAGTTATAATGTTTAAATTGTTTATTAGTCATTCCATCTTCTCTGACAAATAGCGGGTTGCAGAAGAATCTTATGTGACTGGTTAGTAAGATTTGGTAATAATTGAAATGTATGATATAGATGAATCAGAAAATGTATTTATTATCACACACAGCATTGCACAGCTGTGAATTTGAAATGTCTTTATGGAGTAGGMACCAGGCACACTCCTGCACATCCAAGAAAAGCTCCACCACAGATTATTCCAACAGCGGCATAAATACAATTTATCCAGGCTGGAGGACACCAARCAAGAGCAGAACATTGTGCGACTGAAATTAAAAGAACCAATATTTTAAAGTTGCAGCTAGTATGTTGCGAGATAAAGAAATTGTGTCGTCTCTAGTCGATTGCAACTGGGATCTCCTTCAGTGCAGTGACAAAATGCAAAGTGTGCACGCGCCACTAACGCTTTTTTACATAAAAATTACAATGATTTGCGCGTGCTGTTTACAAGAATCTATAGTAATTAGACTTTATTATAATAAAGTTCTGTATAACGCGGGGATTTGAATTCTAAAGTTCCCCGAATGTTCGTCTAGCTCAGAATTCCAAGCTTCGAGGAAATGTCTTTGGTAGTAATAATGTTCCGTTACAACTAACTTTGAATTGCCGAAATCCATCTCATGGCCTTGTGTCATTAAAATGCTCAGCAATTTTTGATGATACAACGTTCTGGAATATGTTGTGTTCGACAGATAGAGCATACTGTGACTTCATACTAACCCACCTGCAGTTATTGATGTTCCACATGCCGATGCCGCTACCTGCATACAGGCCGAGCAGGCAACTGGACCACTCCCAGCTTTGTTGATTGAAATAATGAGCCAGACCGTAAAGAATAGAAGCTTATAATCCATCTTTTAATAACACAATCTAAATAGGAAATCAGCTGTGTGAGAAATAGAGGATATTACATGGGTGCACCGGTGGATTTTATCTTCTAATGTTGGTCTCTACGGCCGGCACGGTTATAAATACAAGCAGATTTTTTTCCACATTAGATTTTTAACGAGCGCCTCCAATTTATAGAGATACCACGAATGTGTTATTTATAATAACAACTTAACGTAATGGAGAAATATAAATATTTTATAGTTTATATGATAAAAGAAAAAAAATCATTAGGATCTCTTTAGCTTGCAGACACCATTCAGACCATGCAGTTTTTGGCCTTCTCTGTTCGAGGTCTTCTCGGACAACTCCACCTCCTAACGATCGTCAAATAAAAGAAACATACGAAATTTCAAGAAGAGTTAAGATACACACCCCTCGTCTAATTTCTTATGGTTTTTAATGAACGGTCGTTTAATGCAAGCTTTAATTAAAATCGTTTGTATTAGTTCACCTGATAAATATGGTCCATTTCGGACTTTACGAAACAGTATTTGTCGTGAAAATACACCCACTACACATATGATGCTTTTTGCTGTAAATTGGGTAACGCAAAGAGTGGACAAACATACATTAACGCGAACGAGGTGCCAAGACATCGCGCGATTGAACGTTCATTGGCGTTTTTATGCCAACAATAAACGAAATCACTTATCCAATGTTGTGTTTTGTTTTCGCTCTCTTGAGACTGTATTC